CAGATGCCTTCTTCTGATTTCAAATATGTTTTGTTTAGAAATGCTATATAATGTTCTAATAAAAACGGTAGAAGGATTTGAATTCCCATTAAGATTTAAATAAGCTATCAAATTTTTAATATGTCTATTTTGTAGAAATCTAAGGTTTTCGAAAAACTCATGTTTGTGCATTTTCATCTAAAACATTGCATATATGGACGACTCAATCAAATTAACTTCCAAAAAAATTCAGAAATTTCAAAATCAACTCTTTTCGAGATATAAGGCTATCTAGATCTGGATTCTATTGAAAGTTTCTTATCTCGAAGATATTTTGTTCAACAATATCTGAATTTTTTTAATGAAAACTAATCTAATTGGGTACTGTATATGTGCAAAGTTTCAAATCGCAATTAGACAATACGAACTTTCCGAAAACGTGGAGTTTCTAGGAAATGAACATAATCAAAATTCAATGTCTTAAGAGGGAACTGTTCTAGGTGATATTTCGCATTTGAGATGAAACCTAAATCATTAAGTAGAATCTATTGAGTTTTAAAGAAACCTAGAAGGATTCTGCCCTATGTAGTGCCCTCTTCGAGTAATGACCGTTACACTGGAGTTTTTACTCTTGGCTTGGTATTGATAAAAAAAAATCAAGCAAACGAATTGTGGTCTAGAACTTAGCCTCCAGACAATTCTTGAAATCAACAGAATCTTCTCGAAACTTCAGCCACAACGAGTAGTCTCTTCCGGAGATGAAAAAATCCTCAAAAAAGCTAGAGTTTCCATCTTTTTGGTGGAATATCATGCTTTTTGTGAGCCTGATAGTTCGAGAAGAGATGATTCTTTTTAGGTGAGATTTCTAGAAGATTTTAATGTTTTCAAGAACTGTCTATGAACAAAGTTTCAGACCAAAATTCTTTTGTCCGATTTGTTTAAAATACATACGGCACCAAAGATGAAAAGTTCAATGTAGTGGCTACAATATCAAAAGAGCAGCGCATGGGAAGAATCTTTCTAGGTTTCATTAAGTTTCAACAAGCCCTACGTAATGACTGAGGTCTTGTCTCAAACGCAATGTGTTACCTCGGGGAGTTCCCTCGTTAGTTAAGTCTTCATAGGCAAAAATTCGTGAAAATCGAAAGAAGGCATCTGAAGAGGTTCCCTTGTGAGTATTTTTTCTTTTTCTTCTATCTTTGCCAACACGGTACTATTTATTGACGATAACTAACAGTCAATCATTTAATGATTGCACTTTTCATTTGTGAAGTTATTGGCAAACATCAAGAAATATTTTATAAAAAAATTTTTCATAATGATACAAATATAATGAACTTTGAATAGTTAACAAATTGTCTGTGTTCATGAAATTCTGCGTTTTTGTTCTCTGTGCAAATAATAGTAACTTAATACTTCGATTAATTGTAGTAAAATAGATTCATTTATTCATTTTTTTAAATCAAAATACAAAATTAATCAATTAAATTTTTTTTACTTGTAAGACTCAGATGAAACCAATAAGGTTTTATCTTAATCAAAACGGTCAAAATTCGAACCGGTGGTTAAACGCGGTTAACCGACGGTTTTGTTTAGCTATTTTTTTCATCAACAACTGACTCTTTACGAAAAACAGCTTTTGATTGTCGTGATTGTGCGCAATTCTTGAATATATATCTACTTAAAGAAGCTTATATGAAAAAATTAGAAGATATGAGTAATGATAAACAAGATCCACACACAGTTTCATCTCTTATAAATATACTTGTTGATAAAACTGGTGTTCGAATTGATCTACAAGATGATGATGATGATGTAATCAATTTAGCAGAACGCATCGGCAAACGTTCGTTGACAACATCAAAAATTAATTTAGAAAGTGATGTACAACAAATAAAACGATTACGCAACAATACAGCTAATACAAATGTTTCTATTTTAAATACTGATTTTTATTGTTCTTTATATCAATTCTTGATTATAATATTTGTAATATTAGATTAAAAAGCGAAAGTTTTGCTTAAAGTAGAAACCAGTATTGAACTTAATTGAACTTGTTGGCTTTGCATGATAACGAATAATAGAATAAAAAAGAACCTCAAGCATTCAGTTTAATAAAACATCTTGTGTACTTTTTTCTTTCTTCTTGTTTTTATCTTTTTAAGAGGAATTCAAATATGATATTGGCAATAGACAGAATTTGAATCACGCAGATTAGTGTTTTATTCAGTGTGAGAACTGAGTGGATGACGCCTCTTCGAAGATCAGCTTGATCCCTCTGATAGAGAACATCTGGGTAAAACATTAACCCAAACTGATACCCGCCGTTTAGACTCACAAGAAAATTTCCGTAAAACTAGAAAAAAATTGAGAGGATCTGCTCCCATAGGTCTTTGAAACTCAACTATGATTGTTTTACTCAATTTTCGACTCGGCTTTAGATTCATAAAGATTAAATCAAAAACAAGAATTTTGATGTAAAGCTTTTCCTATGGATTGATCGAATGGTTCATGGAAAATTCTTAAAGTTTCAGTTGAAAATAATGATCTTTTGTTAAGATATCGAATTTCTAAAACCAAATGATCACTTATCTCAGGCATGACGTAAAAATTGAGTTGACTTGAAAATTTGATATCAACAAAAAAACCATTCATTTTGGATGAAACTTTTAGAATATTCTAACGATTATCAAATCAATCTATGGGTGAAATTTTACATTGAGATTTTGGATTCTGATTTTTGGGAAAATATCTAAAGTTGGATCGACAATTCAATAAGATTATCGCAGCTCGACTCTAATGGCTCACTGGGACGAGCTCTAATACACATTCGTAAGTCTTACTAACACATCCTTGTACGTCCAATATGGGCTCAAATGGTGCGCATCAATATAGGTGGCTGTCTCATCAAAAAGTTGTTAGTCGAAGTTTAACGTCTTGTTCTTAAAAATAATTGGATTTCTACAGGCTCTAATCCATTTTATTCAATGTACTATTGACAATTAGGATGGTAAACAAAAATCAAGTACTGGAACACATCACATCGATATGTCAAAATGTGTGAGTGGAGCATTTTATAGTGGTATTCAGGCAAGCCTATAAAAAATTCTTATCAAATGAATGCATAGATTCGTTGGAATTCGTGAAGATGAATTCTCTTCTCATGTAATGCATACCTCCCTACATTTAATATTAGCCAGAAAGTAATTAAAGGTTTAACTCAGTACCTAAATCGTCCTCGGTGACTGAATTCATTGTATCATATTTGCCTTATCGGTATCGACAACTCAAACTCTTGAACACTGCGATAACAATGGCTGAAAGTTGTAACAATTTTCTTTTCTCTGAGCAATTTTGAAATGAAAAAGTAAGAAAATCACAACAGGAGACATAATGAACATTAACTAGAGAACAACATTCTTGAAAACTAATATATGATGTTGAAAATCTTTAAAAAAAAGTGGTATATATTTTAATGTCTCAGTCGTATAGCTGGACCACTAAAATATTGGTCGAAGCTCATCCAATCTATTTACATTTCTAAACATGATAGTCTCACCAAAGAGCAATCGTTAAACAATATATCTGACCAAATATTTGCCTTTCATCTATCATTACAACAAAAAAACGTACTATACTCATTGATAATAATTATCTTTCGAGAAATAGAATTTCATTATCTAACCTTTAACTCGATGCTAAACAAGAAAATGCATTTACTTCATCACTATCAAGTAACCGAACAATTTAAAAGATTGTAACCGATTGAAAATTTTAAATTCAATCTATTATTAATTGAACTTTGAATATGATCAACATTTTTCTCGTCTATTAGGTAATAGAACGATAATCTTACAAAGCAACTATTTATGAAAATAATTGGTAAAAACTGAAACCTTGAACATAACATTTAATATTTGAAAAAATTATTTTCTCTGTGTAATCATATATGTGATAAAATTAGTATTATTAAAGACAATCACTTATTTAATATGAAAGCCTTGTGCTATTTTATTTGAGAAAGAAACAACAGACTTCAAGCGGAGAGACTTCAAATTTTCGAGAAACTTCAAAAAATTTCATGAAACATCAAGACTGAAGTTTCTACTATCTTCTCATTGATTTTATTGCCTTTGAATAATCATTAGCATGGATTATTTGCAATAATAATAGTTAATGAAGAAAAAAAAATTGTTTAACAAACTAAAGATGCAATATTTGAATAATTTATTATCTTATTCAGATTTGAAGTGTTATGCTTATAAAAAACTAAAGAAAAGGCAACATATTCTTTCATCAATAAAAAAACGTATGGCTATTGAAATTGTTGATAGTCATCATCATCTTTGGTCATTGTCACCAACAAGTCCTGCGAAATATAAATGGCTTAGACCTGTTTCTGAAGGTGGTGCATCCTGGCATTTTGCTGGAGATATAGAACGTTTAAAACAAAATTATCTACTTGATGATTATCTTCGTGATGCAACAAGTACTTCATGTCATTTAATTAAATCTGTTCATGTTCAAGCTGAAGCTGACGATCCAATAGAAGAAGTGAAATTTCTTGAACAAATTGCTAATGCAAATTCTGATGGATTCCCTCATGGTATTGTTGCACATGCAAATTTAGCATCATCAGAATTACCAAAATTACTTGAAACTTATACGCATGATTATCCACGTGTTAAAGGTATTCGTCAATTACTTAATTGGTCAACAAAAGACTCTCGTTTATCAATGACTGATCGAAGCGATTATTTAACTGATAAAACATGGCTTGAAGGTTTTCAATTACTTACATCATATTCATTATCATTTGATCTTCAGGTATATCCATCACAGATGATTGATGCATCGAAAATAGCTCGACAATATCCAAATGCAATACTTATTCTTGATCATTGTGGTTTACCTGTTGATGGTAAAAATGATTTTAATAGTTGGAAAGAAGGTATGACACATATGGCTGAACAATCAAATGTTATTTGTAAATTAAGTGGATTAGTTATGTTTAATCATGTATGGTCAAAAGAAATTTTCGCACCATATATTCTTGAATGTCTACGTTTATTTACACCGAAACGTTGTATGTTTGGATCGAACTTTCCAGTGGATAAATTACATATAACATATGAAGAACTTGTTAATGTTTACCGAGACATTGCAGAAAATGATGCTGGATTATCAAAAGATGAACTTGAATTAATATTTAAACACAATGCTATTAAAACTTATCGATTATAAGTATATTGATGAAAAGTTTTTTTTTACGATTGGTTTTGCTATTCAATTTATTTTACTACATAGTTTGTATCTGTTTACATTTCTACTTTTTTTTTAAAAATTCCATAATGTTTTTGATTCATCATAATTTTTTTCTGTTTAATAACTATCATATAGATCTTGATCTCACAGTTTTATCCTAAAACAAAAGCAAAAAGTTTCGTCTCCTATTCAAGATAAGATGAAACATACATAAATTGAATTATTTCGTTTCTGGTTTTCCTTGTCAGATGATGTCTATCGACTTATAGATTGCGCCCAAAAGTGCTGTCGTATATCTTAACTATTTGGTTTAAATTTATCAATAGATTTTCTGTTTAAATGGCCGATACACATATATACCAAGTATCTTTCTATACTGCTGAATTTCAGAAGCACTCTTCAGAGCTATCATCTCTAAGAGAAATAAAAAACTTTACTCTTTTTCCATAGATGGAACTGGTCTACTTTTTTTCCAGCCAGACCGGCCGGTATACCAGTCTGATTAGTTCAAACCGGTTTACCGGCGAAAACCAGTCAGACCGATCTACCGACCAAAATCAGCCTATCGGTACTAAACAGGATGCTGATGATACGTCAATTTATCGGAGAAAATCCGACCTAACGACAAACTATCGATCTACAGACAACAGGTTGAGGCTTAACATGAAACCTTGTTTTATAGTGAACTCTCTTGCGGGCTACCTTCGTACCTTCACCCATACTGACATAACGTTTCACCGTTGATAACAATAGTCTCATTGAGGGGCATTCTATAGACTGTTTGTTAAATCAATTCCTGTGTGATCAGTGGGACTAGCCTTGGTGCCAGTTATTTTTTTTTTCGTGTGAATACCATCATAGAACAGGAGAGTGACAAATAAAGACCGACGGGTTGCTGGTACCGACTCAATCTCTGCCTTTTTCTATATGCATAAAGATATTATGCAACAATGTATTTTTAATTATTTTATTTTCTTGAATGTTAGTTACACAGTCATCTTCTGTTTTGGTTAAGCAACACAGCTATCGTACTTGGAGTCAAAATGATCTGTCCGTCACTTAAAATGTACCATGTGGGTGTGGGTGTCATATTCTATTCACTTATATCCATACCCACACCCGCCTGCATCCACATCCACACGTACACTCACCCCGCACCCACATCCACAGGCACACCCCACATTTACACTCATACCCACACTCCATACCCTTGATGTTGCATATCTTTGTTGAAAAATAAATGTGTTGTTTAGCCAGAAAAAAAAACACATGAAGAACTTATGTACCAATCGGATATATCGAAGAGTGTAAAAATTCATCTGGTTCTTATAGTACAAGAGTAAAACTGCATTTTTGAAATATTTGAATGTTGAATGATCGTAATCCCGTAGAGATTAGGCAGAAGCTTTATTTAAATATAGTTTCACGAGTTTTGTTCTGTGGGATTCTCGCGTGGACTTAGAATATCTTTCAAGATATTAGGAGCATGCAATCCATTGTGCTGAAGGATACCAGAATGGAGTTGAAAAACGCGCAGAATAAAATCGAGCTCTAAATTCGTAAGGCGACACATTTTCATATGTCACTCCATAAAGTTGGGGGTGGATGAGGGTGATTGTCTTTCCTTCACCCTCACCGTCAGCAAAATACCATATCTCTTGTACAAGCGGAATGAATCGACGTAATCTTTATAGAAATATATATCATACAAAATTTTATCGAAACAATTTCATTAGAAA